AGCCCTCTCGCAAAACTCTTGAACCCCATGAAAGAATTCCAATGTATCACGTCTACCATACATCCAACCACGATCCTTCTCCATTTAAATCGTCTCTAAAAATAGCAACATATTATGAATAATGTATAATTGCTACATATATTATGTCAATCAAATTAAAGTACACACCATGCATATACCATTCATAAAGTGAAAAAATGCATGCTTCTAAGGGGTCCTTATCACTCCTACCTAGCCCATCCTTGAACGTCTAATCTCACTAATGAATGTATGTCGACTTTTCAATTTTAAGGAAAATCCGACAGCAATTCCCCCCAGTTCTCCAAGTACATGATGTAGGTAATTACTTACCCACATATGTACCCAGAGAACATGGTGAGGAAATAGTAAGCCAAGATGTTCCTTAAAATCGAAAAAAAAGACATACATTACCACCTAACTGAGAGTAAATGTTCAAGAACAGTCCCAACCGGGGACTATTCAAGGATTTCTCCTAATGAGAAAGCCTTGAACGGGTATCTAGGCATATGATGATGCAAGCATACTATAGTTGCATTTATTTGTCATTAAACAATACACAAGTTGTAATAGCATGAAAAAACTTTTATTAACTGGATAAAGAGAAAGAAATATAACTTAGTAAAGTTTATAATTCATACCAATATACCAAGTACAATGGATGTACACTTTCTAACTTCCCACTTGAGCTAAATATGTAGTCTTCAAGCTAAACTTGTGCTTCACATATGAATATATATATATATATATATATATATATATATATATATATATATATATATATATATATATATATATATAAGTTAGTAATTAATTAGTACCTACATACATTGCTAAACTATAACACATCTATCATTCATCAAACTAACAATTGCTAATCACTAATTTATTTAAAATCTAGAGTAATTAATGTAATTTCACCAATTTATTCACTAATTTATAACACAATTGCTAATCACTAATTCATACAAAATCAGAAATTCAGGAAATAATATTATTTTTTTAAAGCTAAATTCAACCACGTTATATTTTACATACCAAAATTCAACTAACTAACAAGGTTACTAATCTCTAATTTATTCAAAATTTCTCATTAAAACCACCTAAAATTCACAAAATTGGGGTTTAATTATATTGAAACCCTAACTTTAGTTTGCTAATGTGCCTAATAATTGTTCAAAATGAAAAAGAAAATATAGGTAGAGAATTGAAAATCATTTTTCAAAATGGCCAAAAAATTAATACTAACCCTAGGTGGAAGAGGTGAGAATATCCACCATAATTGGAGGTGGAAGGGGAGGAGAGATGGAAGGCAGAGGACGGCGACCGGTGGAGGGAGTTCCGGGGTTGTGGAGTGGCGGTTGTGGTGAACCTCAGGGCTGCTCCTATGTCGCTGCTAAGAGGAGAATGGAAAGGGAAAGGAACTCAGCTCGCGGTGGAGGAGGCGACTGTGGTGGAAGGAGTTCTGGGGCAGGTGGCGGCAGTGGTGGATGGGGTTCCGGTGCAGGTGGCGGCTCTGGTAAAGGAGGCGGCTGTGGTCAAGCTGCTGTGAGAAGGGAGAATGAAGAGGAGGGAACGAGAAAGAGAAAGAAAGTAGGAAAATGAAAAATGAAAACCAACGGGAAAGAAAGAGAAAGAAGAAAAGGGGCGGTTTTTTTTATTAAAATTGGCACCGGTTTGAACGTGTGCAATTACTATAAGTTCGCACCGGTTTGGTTTGAACTGGTGTGCTTACTCTTTCATTAAATCCCTCTTATTTTTTTCGCACCGATTTTTTAAAACTGTTGCGCATTTCTCGGTGCTCATTTATGATTTCCTACTAGTGTTTCCATCTTCTAGCAAACTCTTAAGCGCTTGCATGGTGTCTAAGATCAGCCTTGGCTCTGATACCAACTGTCACGGTCCGAGTGTTTTGACACCGGATCGTGCGGCGCGCTCTTGTCTTTTGGCGACGAGAACGCAATGGGGCTTGTGAGCACAAAGCAACACAGGCCACATGTATCTCAAGGGGAGCACATGTCTTAATGTAACAAGTGAGGAGTTGGGGCTTGTGGCAGTCGATACTTTAAAGCGGGCACAAGCGGGTCCGACGACAATGAGGGTCTCTTAATTTGGAGGGGTGCTTTAAAACAAGGCAAACAAAATATCTATAAAGGCTTAAATCAACAAACAAATCTTAAAGCAATATGCAACCGGGTAGGGAGCTCAGATTTCATTCAATCATTCGCTCCCTAATGAGCTTTAATAAGATTACACATAAAATTACTAGTGAACACTGAAATGACAGTAACACAATAATTCTACCTAGAGCCTAGAAAACATAAAGAAAGACTTAAAAGACATTACATAGAGAAAATACAAGGAAAAGGGAGGGGATACATAGAAGAAAGAGGCGAATTCTAACACTATGGCATACCACAACCCCCAATTCCGTCAATTAAGCCCATATGCTTCATTACAGCCCATTTGCCAATTGAATCCACACTATTTACTAGTTTGTGGGTATAGATAGCGACATTCTCCACACCCTCAAGGTATTCACACATATTAGCATTTAATATACTTACACTTGCATTGAATACTTTCCTTTATTTTCGATAACCCGGCCTGATTTAAGCATTTGAGGGGTTTCCTTGGACACACCCACAAGACCAACTAACGTGCTCTTTGGTGTAGGTAATCTTTAGCCCAACGCTAAATTGGATTGAGCTCGTTTTCAGCCCACAATCAAAGGTCAAAGTCTTGAACACATTGCTTTACCTATAACACATTTTAAAATAAATTAAACAACCCGATAATCTTTATTTCAAAGACTAGAGATAAGACTACTCCAGTGTTTTAATAAGTGTTGCAGTTTGACCAAACACACATGTCGAGACACAAGTTTGACCATGAATTTATGTAATTATATATTAGTAAAATGATAGGAAAATTGATATTATGAAAGTATATATTATAACTAATCTAACGATGTATTATACAATAACATTTGTTTTTTATATATTGGTAAATTAATCAAGTCAAAACCAATATGTGAATAGTGAAAAAAGTCAAACTGTAACACTTATTAAAATACGGAGGGAGTAGAAGTGTTTGGTTCGCTTCAATGTGGTTCGAGTTCAAATCAAATTTGGATCGACTCTGCACACTCCTAGTGAGTTCTTATCAAATACAAGAGTGTTGTAATTAATTAGAAACGAATAAAAAAGAAAAAAAATTATAATTTATCAAAAACTAAGGGAGTATAAAGTTTTATCTACAGATGGAATTGTTACACTTCAAACAATTGTTATACAGAAGCGTTACATTACATATTACAGTCAGTCTTTTAAGGTCTGCTAGACTGCTAGTAGCCCGGCCCCTATTATACCTTTGACTTTTTTGGGTCATTGGCTCCAGAAAGCAACACAAGACTTACGTAGCTTGCGGATGGAGTCTTGCAGAGAGTCATGCAGCAGCATAAAAATAGTACTCGTTGAGCTTAAATATGTTACACGAAATATCTGATTCATTATTTGTCCTTAGTTTATGTACATTACTAGAAATTTCGCAAAGTCTGAAATCAAGTCGCCTCACACGTGGGCTGTCCGATCTAGGCCAACCCTCACTATTCTTGCAGGCATCACCATTCACCACTATCCACCCTTTCCACTATTCACATTGTACGAATAGAGTAGTCACGTTGCCGTCGAACGAGTAGAGTAGTCAAGTAGCCGTCGACCTAGGTTAATTAAGGGTTCATTCTCCCATAATATCATTTTAAAGGTAGAGATCTCTTATTCTCGTCCCCATCACTTTTTAACTGTTTGATCCGCAAATATTTAATCACAAAAATTGTGAGGGTTGAAATCTGATTACAGTTCTTTTCCTTATTATGAAAAATAAAAAATATTTAATAATTTCATGCTTAAATCAAATAACTAAAAAAGTACTTCTTATGAGTACTATAATTTATTTCTCCCTTCTTATTTGTTTACTTTTCATCCTTTTTCAACGTTTGTACCAAATGCCCCATAAGTAGTCGTCTAGTCAAAGTTAGCAAATGAATGGTAGGATCAAAGTTGAAATATAACGCGTGAATAAGCTCGGTAAAAACACATGCTTTAACTTGAACTAATGTTTAAGGCTTGTTTGATTACTAAATAAGCTTCATGTGAACAATTTCGTGTTCCATTTATTAGTGCTCACAAACATCTTGTTTATTTTATATTTTGAAAATATAAAATAAAAAATTATGTTTTGAAAATATACCTTACCACCAATATACATATTGTGCATGCATTCTATTTTCAACTTTCAAGTGCCTTTCGGTTTTGGGTATGTCAAGTCTGTCAAATCTTTACAGCAATATCATTTTAATAAATTCAAAAGACAATCTACTTTTATTCCCCACACGAATGTATAATGTAAATGTACAAAATCACAACAATTACTAATATTCTCAAATCCACAAGAAATAAATTTTGAAATCAAAAAAGATAGTACTCTCTAATTTCTCGGGAAAAGGGTATGTCAGCCACTAAAAAGAGAAATGCCATCGTCATCATACAATCCCTTATTACAATGCCCTAAGTAGACACAGCAAATAACCACTTGGGGTGGTTATTAGGAGAGAGATTGTGAGAAAATAATAAAATAATGAGGAGAGAGAAAATTTTGGTGGAAAATATTAATAACCTGGTTATTTCAATAACCGGTTATCATAGCTTGGTCATGCAATTTTTTTTTTGCTTTTTGGTTGACATGGATGGCTAAGATTTTGACACGTAATACAAATATCAATGGTTGAGATTTGCTCTGAATTTATAACCGTTGTAATTTTTGTAACGGCCATAATTTTTAAAATACAATTCTGAAAAAAAAAAAAAATACACCAACGGCTCTATTTTATTTTTCTCTATAAAATGAGCCCAATATTGAAGTATTTTGAAACAACTTTTTTTAAGTGAAAATTACTCTTCTTATTGGCAAATTGTGTTAAGATGAACATTCCAAAATCTAACAGAAAAAAAAAATCCACAAAATCTCATAACTCATCACAGCCCCAAAATAATCCAAATCCTCAACCTTACTATTCTAATCTTCCAATTGATCTCAACTCAGATTTAGATACAAATTTTCAAAATTTTCCGAATTACGGTTCACAAAATCTCAATTTCTCAAATCCAAGTACTTTCACTCCGTTTCCTTTTCAACCACCACAAAATCCTAATTATTCAAATTCTCCAAATGTTATCCCATCTTTTGAAAATATTCAAATCTCTCAAATTGATTCAACATTTCCCATGTCTCAACATTTTTCTATGTCACAAGGTGATGGTGCATTTTCGAGTTTCGATTGTTCATACACATCGAATGCATCAGATGACGAAAATGAACCAGAAGTTGAAGAAGGCGAAGGTAATGAAAGAGGTAATGAAGGAGGCAATCAAGATGGAAGGAAAATTTTTTGGTCAAAAGCTGAAGAAGTGGTTCTTGTGAAGGCTTGGCTTGAGGTTAGTCAAAATAAAAAAACTAACACTAACCAAAAGGGGGATGTTTTTTGGAGGAAAATAAAAGACAAGCATGTTTGGGACATCTTAAAACAACATGAAGCATGGAAACCAAGTGAAGATGTTGTTAAAAAATGCAAGGAAAAGACATCCACTCAAGGAAGTGACTCAAAGAGATCTCGTATCAATGAAGCTGGAAACTACTCCTCTTCATCAAACCCAGAAACACCAACCAGTGGTGATATTGGGTATTCAGGCTTTCCTTCTAGCAACGAATCTAGTAAAAATAAAGGAAAGAGCAAGGTGCCAAACATGCCAAGTGGAGCATGGCAACAATGGTTGGACACTGCCCAGAACATGAACCTTCTAAGGCAATCAGAAAATGAAGTTGAACTTACAAGGTTGCAACTAGAAAGGGAGAAAGAAGCAAGGAAGCAAAGAAAAATTAATATGGAGTTATTTAAACACCTCGATTCAAAGCCAAACTTATCTTCGGAAGATCAAGAATTAAGGAGCACTTTGTTGAAGAAGTTGTTCCCCTCAGACTAATGTATTAGTGTATGGTTGATTATTGTCGTAATGTTGGTTGATTTCAAATAATTCCTTTTTTATTGTTCTTTTTTATGTACTTAAGGTCTGATTTGTAGTTTGAATACTTATGGAGTTATTAAGTTAAATTACATGTCTCTTCTTATAATCGTATTATAAGCTTAATAATATTATTCAATACATTAAAGTTTTTATATAATAACATATAATTATTATTGATCTGACTAAACCTATTGATTCACTTTGATATATCACTGCAAAAGATGTACATTGATTTACATTACACTGTAAAGTATTTGATGTACCCAACACTGAAAAGCAAATATTAAATACTAGACATTGATGTACTTAACACTGAAAAGGTAATAGTGAATTTTGTTCACTGATGTACTTAACACTGAAAAGGAAATAGTAGCATGCATCACTTGCTTTGACGTACATAACAATGTTAAGGTGATAGTGACAATGCAAAGGCATGCATCTCCATTACTTTTAAAAATTATTAACTACTTTATGAATCATTGCATGCATGCAAGACTTCAAATTTACCATATAAGACAAAAAAATTACTACATATCATACACACTTGTTCTATAAGATGGATACATCAGAGTGGGATTCCCTTGAACAACCATCCATTTCCCCCTATTATACTTCTACCTTCCATTCTCATATCAAATTTGGTTTTAAAACATGTCATCTGACGATAGCTCCAACTCTTCTAATTCCTCTTCCAATTCAGAAAATAGCCAAACCCAACGATATGAAAGACGAAGGCAAGCCAATCGCCAGTTCGATCGAATGATGGATGAAGTTTTTATGTCCAATCCAGTTGAAGTATATCAAATGTTTAATCAAGTGCCAAGGCCACCAAGGGTTCCCGTTCCAAGGGATCGTGAGGATGGACACAGTCGTTTATGGAATGACTACTTTACCGACCATCCTGTGTTCCCTCCACAATTATTCCGTCGGAGATTTCGCATGAACAAACATATATTTCAACGAATTAAGCAAACTTTAGAAGAACGTCATCCCTTCTTCCAGCAAAGACAAGATGCTACAGGAAGATTTGGTGCCTCTGCATTACAAAAATGCACCGCGGCTATGAGACTAATAGCTTATGGCACCTCCGCTGATTCTGTGGATGACTACATTCGGATTAGTGCATCTCTTGCAAGAGATTCACTTCAGCATTTTGTGGAAGGAATAGTCTCTTACTTTAGTGATGAATACCTTCGAAAGCCCAATGAAGAAGATCTAGTAAGACTACTAAGGATTGGTGAACGTCGTGGATTTCCTGGCATGTTAGGTTCTATTGATTGTATGCATTGGAGGTGGAAAAACTGTCCACTTCGATTAAAAGGTATGTTTTCTGGAAGACCAGGTAAACCCACATTAATCTTGGAAGCTGTGGCATCATATGATCTTTGGATCTGGCATGCCTTTTTTGGGACACCAGGTAGTCGTAATGATATTAATGTTCTTGATAGATCCCCATTGTTTAATGATGTTTTTGAAGGTTGTGCACCCTCTATTAACTATGTTGTGAATGGTCGCACATACAATATGGGATATTATCTCACTGATGGTATATATCCTAAATGGGCGGCATTCATTCCTACAATATCACTACCACAAAATGAAAAAGAAGGTCTATTTGCCAAAGTACAAGAAGCTAAACGAAAGGACGTTGAGCGTGCTTTTGGAGTATTACAAGCTCGTTTTGCAATAATACGGAATCCAGCGCTAGCTCGTGACGCATCAATGTTAGGAAAAATAATGATAGCGTGTATTATTATGCACAATATGATTGTTGAGGATGAAAGAGATACATATAAAACGTATTACGATCCAAATGAATATGATCAAGCTACAAATGCGTCTTCAAGTAATGAAAATAATGAAGAGCCTTTTCAGTTCCAAAATAGCAACAACCGAATTGCAAGTTTGGAAACTTACATGTCTAATAGAGCACGTGTTCGTGATGAAGCTATGCATAAAGCATTGAAGAAAGACTTAGTTGAACATATGTGGCTCAAATTCGGTGTTCAAAGTAGGGACAATAATATGCATTAATAGATGTGTAATCGCAATATTATATCATTGTGTTTGTACTTGTTCGCGGTTCGTTATTATCTTTCAAAGACTTTTGTCATTTGATAGAATATATATGTATGATTTTTATTATTGTGGAATGTAGTAGGGTTACAATTATTGTTTGTGTCTTAATTAACGACTAATTACATACTAATTAATATCAAAATTGCATTATTTTTAAATTTTTGAGATTTTATCTAATTAATGTATGCTAATAAATAATTATTAATTTTGAATGATTATTACCAAATGCATTATTTAATAATAATAGAATTTAAGTAATAAATTGTGTGGTGGGGTTGGGTAAAAGTAGGAGAGAGAAAATGTATAACCAAAATATTATGGTTAACTATTGGCATACATTGGTTATTAAATGGTTATAAGAGTGGTTATAAGTGAGGTGGAAGATGGATAAAATAATAAAATAATCAATAACCAAGATGGGGTTGGGCAACCATTGTGTATGCTCTAAAGAAAGGTTTTTTTTTAAAAAAAATTATTAATTATGACAAAAAATGGTAAAGTCACCCTAATATAATAGAGGTCGTCCCATGAAGCCATTAATCCATGACTGTAATAATCATTGATCCCTTAGACCCTTGTGGATCTAAAAAAATGCCCCATGCAGTGGCGGAAAAGGTGACCAAGATCATATGTTTTTTCATAAAATTTAAAGACTTAGCTATTCTGTATAAATTTATGAAAAATAATCTAGCATCATATTATATTATATCACTAATAAATAAAGCCGATCTGGTAGCCAAGTCACAAGACAGCGACACTTGGTATTTTAGTTTTTCGCCGAGTGTCGCGCCATGTAGGAAATAAATAAGTATTATTGTGACACATATGATGCTAAGTAAGTGATTTTTGGATAGATTTTTTAAGATAAAATTGTTGTATAAAGTTTTATTATCGATAAAATTATAATATTTCATATATACAAAATTAATCATAACTTGTTATAAATATCCTATAACTTTGTTCTATTTCCATCATCAAATTCGTTTTAAAATGTTCTTTAAAATAAGATCCATTTGTAATATATTTAATCACAAACTTTTATAGGTAGCTGGCTAAATCGTGTCCCACCAACTATTACAAGTGTTACTTTGTTAGCGCTATAGGGGTTACTTAGTCAGTGTTATAGTGAAAACTCAATCGGTGTTATAGATAGGGGTTACATAGTTAGTGTTAGAGGTAGTTATATGATAAGCCATATGATATCGTATGTCTAAATATCCAACATTATCATAATGAATTATTTGATCGTATTTAACATTCAAGTAAATGTTATCTTAAAATTTTATCAACCATCTGGGTATCGCCCGGACACAAAACCAAAGGAGAGTTTTTTCCCAAGTTTTTAGAGCACCATGTAGGATTTTAATTTTTAAAAAATGATTAGAGTGCCACTTAGGATTAATATTTTTAAAACGCTACAATCGGATTATGCCACGTAAGATTAGTTATTTTTTAAAAAACGCTACATAGAATTATAATAAAAAGCATTTTAGCCAATGAAAAAAAAAATTGCAATTTATTTTAGATAAAAAAATTTATATTAATTATAAAAATAAAATCAGCGCCTTTTTATATTAATTATAAAATTTTATACTAATTTTAGAGCTTTTTTGTATGGCTAGCCATATCTTGTGGTCGACTGAGACACACCCAAACACTGACCGAGTAACCCCTGACCGTCCGAGTAACCCCTGATCGATTGAATAACCCTTGACTAACCATGTAACTCCCGACCCAAGTAATCCCGACCACACAATGTGACCAGCCACATATGAAACTTTTTGAAATAAAATATTATCTTTTTATATTACAAATTTTATCTAAATATGAGAAATAAAGTTAATAATTCATTTTATAATAAAAAAATTCAAGTTGCGAATATCACAAAATTTATTAGATAAATATATATTTAGTAAAATAGTCTATTTGAAAAAATATAAACAAACCGTGCATCGCACGGGCTTCATCTAGTCACTAATAAATAAAGCTAGTTAGGGGTGTACAAAAACTGGACCGGACCTGAAACCGGACCTGAACCGACCTGATCCGGACCGGACCTGACCCGGACCTGTTGATTCAGGTCCGGTCCCGGTCCTTAAAAATCAAGGTTCCCGGTTCCGGTCCGGACCCGGTCTAAACCCGGGGTTTTCAGGTCCGGACCTGAAACCCGGAAAAATTGTATTTTTAAAAAAAAAAAAAAAAAAAAATTCAAAAATCAAAATTACGCTGCAACCCTAACAAACAGCTATCTGACTATCTCCATTCTCCAAGACTCCAATCTCCAAACTCCCTGGCTGTCTCCCCCTCTCCCTCACGCTCACTGTCTCCAGTCTCAGCCCAACGCGGCAACGCCCACCGCCGACACCTCCTGCCTTCCTCACTCTCTCAGGCGAAGCCCCTTGCCCTCCCCCTCGAAACCCCTAACATTCACTCCTCCCTTGAAAACCCCTAACATTCACGCCGGTAAGTTATTTTTGGGGTTTTTGGTGGTGAGATTCTAGAGCTTATCTTGAGATCTTGCTGGGCAACAAAAAAAGGAGAACTTTTTGAGCAGCAGAATAGCGAAGAACACCGAAGGAGGCTTGGTTGGGTTGTTCTCTGGGCTAGCGAAGCTGCTGCAAAGTAGCAGAGCAGCGGCGGTAAAGCAGTGCAGCAGCGGTGAAGCGAAGCAGCGGACGGAGAAGTCGAGGTGACTTAGCTGTGTTCTGTAATCCTTCATTTTCTACGGGAATTCAGAGGCTCTGCTTTGATTTTTCTGGGCTGGCAGAACAACGGATCTGTGAAGAAAACCACCTAAGTGAAACAGCAGCAGCGGTGAAGCCGTTTAGTTGGAGTGTCGTTCGTGGTTGCTCTTTCATTGATTTGGTATTCTGAATTTAATTGATTATTTACAACTTTTGCATGTAGAATTTCAATTAATGAGTACTTTGCTAAATTATCTAATTATGTTTGGGTATTTTGTATTCGAAATAATGAATTAAGGTTTTTTATTAAAAAAAAAAAAACGAAAAAATCACAAAACAGGTCCATTCAGGTCCAAACCTGGACCGGACCTGATTTTTCAGGTCTAGCCCGGAACCGGACCTGTTAATTCAGGTCCGGTCCCCGGTCCTCATAATTACCCAATTCAGGTCCCCGGTCCAAACAGGTCCGGTCCAGGTCCGGTCCGGTTTTGGACCGGTGTACACCCCTAAAGCTAGTCTTGTAGCCAGACCACAAGACAACGACATTTGGCATATCAGTTTTTCGCCAAGTATCATGCCACGTAGGTGACAAAAAAATTGTGACACATATGTTGCTAAGTAAGCGATTCTTGGATAGAATTTTTTAAGATAAAAAATGTTGCATGTATAGAGTTTTATTAACACCATACTTCTAATATTTCATATATACAAAATTAATCATAACTTTAAATAAATATTGTATAACTCAGTTTTATTTCCATCATAAAATTCCTTTCAAAAAGTTCTTTAAAACCAGATCCATTTATAATATATTTAATTTAGTTAAAAAAAATAATAGAGAATCAGTAAAAATAAGTTTTAATCAATAAAACAATTTTGGTTTGGTAAAAATACTTTCGGTTCAGTAAATAAAATTTAAGTTCAATAACAATAATTTCAAGTCAATAATAACATAGATATCTATTTACAAACAAAATTACAAAAAGTACACTGTTATATGATATTGTATATCTTGCATTATCAAAAGGGATTATATGCCCATATTTAACATTTAAGCCAAAATTTTATCCTAATATTTTATCAACAATCTGGGCGTCGCTCGGGCACAAAACTAGTACATATATAAAGGGGATTTTTTTCCCGAGTTTTTAGAGAGCCACATAGGATAGAAATTTCTTAACGCGCCGTGTAGGATTATAAATTTTAGTGATAGCCAATCAAATAAGAGATTTGTAATTTCTTTTAGAATTAAATAATTCAAATGCCACATAAGCAAAATTGACGAATGAGATTTTAAATTTTAAATTAATTGAATACAATATATTATCTTAAATATAATATATAATGTATTAAATTTTTAAAACGCTACAATACGATTATGCCACGTAAGATAAGTTTTTTTTAACGCTATGTAGGATTATAATAATAAATTAAAAAAATATCAGAGCGACACATAAGATTATTATTTTTTAAAAATTATCATGAATAAAATTAAATAATTTATTTGGGTGATTAATGGAACCAAAATTATGATAAAATTTTACAAAAATTAAAAAAAGGAGAGTTTTTCAAGATATTTTAGAGCATCACATAGAAAAATATTATATTTTAGCCAATGAAAAAAAGAATTGCAATTTATTTATATCTAAAATTTTATATTAATCATAAATCACCCATTTTTCGTGTGGCTGACCATATCGTGTGGCCAGCTGAGATATCAAAACGCGACCGGGTAACCTCTGGCTGTCCGAGTAACCCCTGATCGATCTAGTAACCCTTGACCAACCGAGTAACCCCTGATCGATCTAGTAACCCTTGACCAACCAAGTAACCCCTGACCAAGTAATCCTGACCACACGCTGTGACCAGCCACATATGAAATTTGGTGGAATAAAATAAAACATTCAAGTAGTAAGCAAGCGAATATTACAAAGTTTAGGAGATAATATATATTTAGTAGAATATTTTATTTGAAAAAATACAAACAAACCGTGCATCGCACGAGTTTCATCTAGTTTATCATATCATATACTTGTATTATATATAAAGTTGCTACCATGATTAATTTATGAAATAAGCTTTTAAATACTACGAGTACTAAGTAAATGCTAATGGGACTTTGCTTTTTAAGAAAAGACTGGAAGAAAAAATAAAAATATATAGAGCAACAAAATTCGAGCTCATAGTCTCACGTAAGAAATCCCATAAAGAACTCACATGTTAACCAACTAAGCTGTGAAAATTTATTTGATAGCAAATGCAAAATTACTGTTTAAACAGTATAGAATCAAGAGGGTGCCCCTAGCCTACCCCAGCTACCCCCTGATTCCGCCCCTGGCCCCATAGCCGCAGAACGCGCCTTAAAAAAAATTTAATTCAGATCTATCGTTATTTTGACTTTTTGAGTATGAATGAAGGAACGAATATAGAACTTGTAATAATCCTTTATCCAATTTTGGGTGTTTTTACAGTCACGATAAGTCAACTATCCTAGCTTTGGGGTAGTTCAATGGTAAAGTTAATATTGTTCAATAGGACTGTAAAGTGAAAATTAAATAATTCCTACTTGTATAATAAATAAATTGTTGTGTGCCTTTAGAATTTTGTGGTTTGGATAATTATCATTTTTTTTTTTTTTTGGATTCAATAATTTTCATAAGGTCTAAGTAGATAAGTGTCACGTACTACTAGTAGGCCTTTGGTCACTCATAAACATAACTAAAAGTGTTGTCCACATGACGCCATTTTGGGGACTGCTGGTAAGCATTTAGAGCCGGTATGACATCCGTACCCCATATAACCATGATACTTGAATTTCTCGAGAGTGTTGAAGGAACACAACTACTACAACAATTTTTTTGATAAAAGCACAATAAACTCTACAAAATAATATATAAGAATGATGAGATTGTAATTTTCATAGAAATAGTAAGAACAAATAATAAAATTACTTCATCATACAACTCTCAATTGTGACTTGATTAAATCAAGAAAGGATGACAAAGGTCTGACTTCAATTGCAAATATCTCTCAATAATTTAAAGTATTTACGTACACATAGTTCATTGAGTAGAATTTGTTTTATATACCCGGGTATATCATACACCCAACTAATTCAAAATTAGTTTTGCTATTCATTTGATGATTAAATAAAAAACAATTATCATAATGAGAACAAAATACCTATGGGTGTATGGTACACAGGCGAACCGGAACCGACGGAATCACTGTAGCAAACCCTCCCTGGCTGAATGATTGAAGCACTCTAAGGGGAAAGCTGAGGGGATCCAGCTTTAAGAGTAACAGACCAATAAAAGAAGGTTTGTTACTTTTTCGCTAGGGTGAAGGAAGTGAAAAACCTCTTTCACTCTACACCCGGGTGTATATAACAAGCTCTCTTCATAGAGCGTTGTTTTTTGTTTTGTTTTTTTTTTAATTTATACGTAAAGAACAATCTAACTTATTATACCTTTAATAGTCGATCTGCCTTTAATTTCAACAGCTTTTTATAAGCAACCCCAAACCACGTGCAAAAAAAATACTAAGACTTTAAGAGTTGGGACACTTCATTGTATTGGTAGGTTAACACAATTGCGTGGGTCTCAAATTCGACAAAAAATAAAAATTACAATCATATGTACCATATACTAATATTTTGTGTCTATTTCAGAGTAGCATGTTTTTGTTGGAAAGTTGCTGCCAGGCAAAAATGAGCTTAAATGGGTCATGGGCTAAAGGGTCAATTGGGTCAATAGCCATGTTACACGGACAGTTCATGAACTCTTTTAAAAAAATAAATAAAAAAATAAATTATTATACTATTTTTATTTGTGTATAAATACAAACTAACTAGGTTAGTTGTCATAGAAAAAATATATCTTGGTGCATTATAGAGCTTGAGTTAGTGTGAAAGGTAAATAATCATGGCCGAGTTCAAGCATTTGGTGGTGGCAAAGTTTAAGGAAGGAGTTGTTGTGGAAGACATTATCAAAGGCATGAAAGATCTTGTCTCGGATATTGACGCAGTTCGGTCCTTTGAATGGTAAGTCTTTTTTACTATAACTTGCTATGTTTAACATACATACGTTACCTACATGAATCACTCTATAAATAATACGGATTTCTTTATCGATCCCTAATTTCATTAGATCATTTTTACGATATAGTCTTATTAACAAGGCAAATGCTAACGAGCTTCTCAATCTAGATCGATTGATAAAGAGAATCATTAATAAAATTATCTTATTAATGAGAAAAATGACATTTTTTATGAGTCGACTTTCTAGTTTCTTTTAAAGTTAATCATAGTATACCATTAAGAGTCGCTAAGGATTGAGGTACACAAGGATCAAACTTCATGAAAATATGGTAGTAGACGGACATATAAGTATCCGTCTTTGAAAATTAATCATGTTTAGACAGTACTTGTCTCATAAAAAAGTTAATACATATATACAACTTCCTGAGATGGATCAGAGGTTGTAGTTTTTTTTTTTTTACACTTCTGTAAATAAGTTATTAATATAAATTAATATTATGAAATCCTCTAAATAATTACATTGGGTAGTAAATTTAATTTGGTAAATGCATACACAATGTGTAGGGGACAAGATTTGGAGAGCCATGAAATGCTTAGGCAAGGGTTTACACACTCATTCTTGATGGCATTCAACAACAAAGAAGAGTACACTGCATTCTTGGCTCATCCTAAGCATGTTGAGTTTTCAGCCACATTTTCTGTAGCAATTGACAAGGTCATCTTGCTTGATTTTCCCATTGTCCTTGCCAAGCCCATCAAGCCATCGGAAACCACCGCGGCCGAGCCATCGGCTTAATTAGGCAACACCCACTACCGTCAACACCACGGGAAGCTGAAGCTTAATTAGACATAATAATGTCGTTCAGATCAATCCAAGTAACTTATATGGTGTTTCAAGTGGGATTAATTAGATTTTTTTTTTTTTTTTTTTTTTTTTTTTGGGGTTATGTTTAAACCTTACATCATTAGATGTAAGATTTAATTTGCAGGGTATAATGACATGCATTCCCTTTCATGTTTATCATTATAATGCAGGCATATGATGATTTATTATGTTTTGTACGACTTTTTACTTTTGTTTTGCCTTTTAGCTTTATATATCTTATGTTATTGTTGTATTGGTAATTGATGATAATCATGGCTCCCTTCTATATGTGTTGTTAGTCTCTTTTAGTCCGTCTAATTGTTTAACAGTTAGATATGTGACTACTCTCTTTTATCCCTTAAAATTTACTAATTTTCACCTTTTAAAAAGTTGTATTGATAAACAAATAGATTTGAGAGTGGTCAAGAAAGTACGTAGAAAGAAATTGTGATGACCATGGTGACAATATTTAAAGGATGGAAAAAATAACAAGGAAATTGCGTACCCGAGCTCGTAGTTTGTGTCCAATTATTAACCCTAATAGAGCTGGAATTGCTCAATAGTAATGTTCAAATTAACACTTTACCTCGTGTTTATAATTATCTAATTAATTAGGTCAATAAGTACAACATGTATGTAAATACAGTACAGATTATCTGTGAAATTTGCAGGTGTAAAATCATAGATTTCATGTGTGGCTGCTGTAAGGTGTGCGCTTTCCTGAACATGTCATGATAGATTAACTCACTTTCTTGACATTGTCTAAATAAATGTCCTGATTAACTGATTTGACAAATTCTTGTCTGCCACTTAACCAAGATTATTGCAAATGTTGTCTATTCTTCATGTAAGCTAGCCTTCCATCGGTGCAATTTGAAGGAGGATACGAGTTCAACTAGGGGTGTCAATTTAGTACCTGGATGAAGTTTGGGTTGATCCACGATGGGTAAGATTTGTTCGGGTTGGGTATGTTCGAGTCAAGGTTATCATTTTAATCTTGCATAGGTTTGGGTCGGATTAATTTCGGGTCAAGATTTGTCGAGTTAGAGTCGTGTACTTTGTAGGGGTCAGGTCAACTTCAGATTGGTTCATATTCTATTGACATAAATTCATATTGGGTTTAAAACGGGTTTGATTGAATTAATTTCGAATCAGATGAATTTAGATCGGATTGATTTCGGTTTGGCTGATTCAGTTTGGTTATGCTCGGTTCAGTTTGATTTGGATAAGGTTGATTCAGCATTGGATCAATAATTCCAATTCAGATCCTTTTCAGGTTTGATTGAATTTGGGTCAAGCTGACCAAATTCAAATTTCAAATTAGGTCATTTTTTAACCTAAGTAATTATTGAGTTATTACCTTATTATGGGCCACTATCTATCAATCATTAATTTGTTATTTTCTATATCGTTTCATTAATACTTATTAGTATTCTCATTAGATTAGATCTTGTATTAGTTTTATCTTTAAGCCAAATTAAACTCAAATTATCGATGACTTATCGTAGCTATATAAGTGGGACGATAACTAACAAATTAATGACCAATTGCTAGATGACAGTCACATAAGGTCGGGTTATGTTTAAATATTGTAGAAAGAAAGTTCTTAACGATTAATGAATCAAACAATTACATGAATCAAAGTAATTATATATGTTAAAGTTAAAAAAAAAATTGTTTGGTTTGAAATCATGTCGGGTTAAAAATTAGGTCAGAATAATATTAGGTCAGCTCAAAGCAGATCAGATTAAATCTGTATTTGTCGGATCAATTTCGAGTCGAATTGAGTTCAAGTCGGGTCAAATAATTTGTGTCAGCTAGGTTGTGAGTTCAAGTCGAGTCAAATAATTTGTGTCAACTAGGTTGTGAGTTCATGTCGGGTCAAATCGATGTTGAGTTAAGTTCAGATCGAGTCAACGTTGAATTCGAGTTGAGTTCCAATCGGTTACAGATTGGGTTTGGATACTGAATTTCTTGAGTCAAATCAGGTCAGTTACAGCTCGAAATGAATGGTCTTTTTTAGACCGGGTCGGTATGACATCTCTAAATACAACCCAAAAAATGTTTGGTTAAACGGTCTTAATTGAGGGAATGATAATGGATATGTATGTGATTTTGCAAGGAAGTAACTTACTTTAAACAAATTTTTTACTAGAAATATCAGTGTCCTAGTTCGTGTCATTAATGAAAATAAATGTTTTTTTAATGTATTAATTGACATATTCATATACACTATTAATAAATTATAAAAAAAAATAATAAATAAAATTGTGACAATCTTTTATAGACATAAATATTGATATTTTATCCTTAAAAATAATATAGATATATTTTTAGAATTTCATACTTCCTTTTTTTTTTTTTTTTTTTTTTTTTTTTTAAATTGTGCCCCATTGGAACATCATATGCCGATTCAGAACTTTGACCAATAATATTTTTAATTATCAACAAGTATAAATAATTATAACACAATTGAATTTAAATAATCTATTCAGAGTTTTGAGACGATTTCAACACGTATCAACGCAATTATATTTTCTCTTATACATAATTTTAGGTCATATTAAAATGCAATAGGTCCCAATAGGGACTTAAAAAAACGGAGGGAGTATATAATAAGGTCAATCCTGTCTAACAAAATCTTTTTATTGATTTGAGTTTTTAATAGAAGTAGAATTTTGGGATACCACACAAGTTTTAGGACAATGTTTTTGGGTTCCAATCAACCAACTTGTTGGGCCGCACACTGATCTTAACTCTATATTAATTTTATATTATTCATTTTAGGCTTATTTTACACGGAATTATTTTTGACCATCTTTCCAATAGGCCTCATATACATGAATGGAGTAAATGGACACTTATAAGCAAGTCATCACTTCCCTTATTCTTTCAATTCCATATGGGACTTGAGTTGCATACCCAAACAATTCTCCATTCAAACCAAGGACTACATAACTTATAATGTGACAGTTAAAACCCAACTTACCCTCTTTTATTTATTTATATTTTTTTTATTCCCATCCGATTCTCCCTTTAGGCTAATTCAGATCAAATTTGGGGTTCGGTTATGGGTGGTTAGGTTCTAGTTCTCTCCCAATTGTTGTTTTGGGAGATCGAATATGCAGTCTCCCCTACTAAATGCAGCCTCATCACCATTGCACCAACATCCAATTGATTAGGTTTCATATTTGTATAGGTGCAACAATTGCCTTTCAAATGCCAAAAGGCCCACTGAGGGTGAATATAGGTCACAATTAGGCCCTAAGATATGGAACAACCTTTATTTTATAAAGACATGATCCATCTTATGAGAAAACATTCACCCTAAATTTTGGGCTGGGAACTAGCCCATTTGAGATAATAAGGCCCAATTCAATTTGTGGTGTCTTTTTCGTCTGTAATATCCAATGATGACTTGACAACAGTTGGTCCAGGTGAAAATGAAGCTTTTTTATTTTATTTATTTTTTTATTTTATTGCTATCAGTATATATTTAGCTCAACAAAGCTTAGTATTATGATTGGTCAAGAGATTTCATAATAGACTGTAACAAGCAGACATTATAGTAATTAACTAGTAATAACTAGGTTAGAACCTGTGCGATGCACGGTTTATATAAAATTTATTTTTATAATTTGTACATTTAAAAAAAATGGATAAATTTAAATAAGAATTATGCCCCTTGTACAAAAATATTTGTAATTTTATAGTTTTAGATTTTCATCAAAATTATGATACATTACCTGTTCAACGTCGCCTAATACATATTTCAATATAGGAGTCCATTAATTAGTGTGCTATTTACAATTGTTTTATTTTTTAAAGATAAATTGATAGGTTGTTGTTGTTATGTAGAAGCTTCTAATACTCAGATTTTAAAATTGTTAAATATGGTAGCTCTAAAAAAAAAAAAAAAAAAGACATCATCCTTACATTTAGGCGGGAAAAAATTTATTATGTGAATGACATGTGGACAGTGATAACATCGGCAATATTTTATTTTAGTAATAGTTAATAGACTACGTAGTACTTTGTAGGTTTTAAGAAAGACATAGTAACAAACTCTAACAATCTGGCCTTTTTTTTTTTTTTTTTGTAAAAAATAAAATAAACATACAGTATAAATATTGGTGTAATTCATGGCAGAAGATTGGTAATTAGAGTTTTCCTCTTTATTTCTCAAAAATGAAATGAGTTTACTTCTTAATCAATAATATTGATGCTATCTTTCAAAAATTAATATTGATGCTAGATTGCTAGAATATCAGTAATTCTTTTAGGCTTTTAGTAGCTAGTTCTCAGGTTTTGGCTTGATGGAGGTAATGATTACCACGACGTTTATGACAATATCACTGTTACAGATATGAGATATAATCAATATCGGAAAATATATTTGTGTAATATACTTTCTCCGTTCTTTTATTATCGCACCAAGGTTGGGCATAATATTTTTGGTAGTGGAAAAGAGGAAGAGAGAGAAGGGTAAAAGTACAACATTAACCATGTGATGTAAGCATAAACCAAAGAATCAAGTGTTAAAAATAAGGGTATATTGGGTATTTGCAGTGTGAATAGAGACATTTTGTTTCCTTAAATGGATATGGTGCAATATTTGTGAAACTTCCTTAAAAAGCAAATGGTGCATTAATTAAAAAAACGGAGGAAGTATATATTATTAGTATATATATAGTCATGGTAGTATATCTTTTAGGAAGATTATTCTATCTTATATATTTTATCTTAAATTTTGTATAAATATTCTACCTATTGATCAATAGTAAACAAGTCAGATTAACTATAGACTCTTTCCTCCAAACTTGTCAATGATTGCCACTTTCTCTAATTACAACAATTTTTTTTTTTTACAAGAAAAAAAAAGGGATTTCAATAATAAATTATAGCCAAACGACACTTACGTATAATTCCTAAGAAATCAAGAATTTCAACACAAGTACACACCTTAAAACTAAATACATCGTAGATTTGATTAACAATCGCCTTAATAAAAAACTTCATCTGAAACAATACAATCTGTGAGTTCGCGCTGATTCGGCTTGAAATCCACTGATGCGTAGTCATTTGATTGAAAATTCTCATGTGGTCCTCGAGATTCTTGTAGAGATTATGAAACCCTAGATCTACAATTTTTGCCATACAAACATAAAAAGAAAATAAACTCAAGAGA